GTGGTTTATAGCACAGGGAGTTCCAAGGGCTGGGCATAAAGGATGTCACAAGACTTATATTCATTTTAGGAGCAAAGATTATTGGCTCCTAGCTGGCTGTCTGAACTTCGGGGATTTAGTAACTATTGCTCCGAACTCGAATGGATTCTGCTTTTTATAGTAGCACGCACGATGGCACACTGACATGAACTAAATTGATGATTGACCCCGATTCCTTTTCAGAAAATACTAGCTCTGTGAAATTGGAAACCGATCTGACCCCCTTGTAGAAGATGTCTATGCTAATGACTTACTTGTTAAAAAAAAAAGCCAGCTTTTTGAGGTGACTAGAGAATGTGGCCAGTCAAACCAGCGAACGGGATAAAATTTGTTTATTGCAGCAGAGGTTCAGGGATCACACGCGTCCATCAGAGGTACTTGGTGCAGGGTCACTGAAGGGTCTTTGAGAGACAGCCAATGAGAGTTCTGTTTTTCCTTTCAAAGTCCCATCTGTTCCCCTGCACCCTTTTCAAGACCCCCCTTAAGTGGACATATAGATCATGAGGGCCAAGGCAAGGAAAAACCAAAAGAAAAGCAAAGAAAGTAAGGAAAAAAAAAAAAGGAAAGACTTAGAACAATGGTATTTTTTTTCATCCGACCGTCCCGTGCATTTTAAATACCCATCATGACCAGCAGAAAAACGAAGCCAAGAGTCTGATTAGACATTCTGGGAAGCCCGATACTATTCCATGTTGTCCCTGAGTCTGACTCAGCCAGCAAGAGTGACAGGATGGGATACAACTATTGATCTCCTACCAAGAAAGAAAGATGGCCTCGAAGTCGCAGTAAAAATATTTGTTTAGAGTGGGGGGGTGTGGGATCAAGACTTTCTGGTATTTACAGCGGAAAAAACAAAAGCATGGGGCCTAATTCTGGGGAGAGGAATGCATGGTGAATTGGCTCGGCGTGTCTCGAGCAACCTGAATTCAGAGGCCACATTTTTTCCTAAGAAGCAAGTGGGAACTTGAAAAGTATGTAGCATGTCCTGAAAAGAGAGCAGTGAACTTTGCCCAGGTCTGCAGCCAGCGCTGTAATCTGAACCGTCAGAAATCTCAGGGCTGGTGGAATTTCCACCCCTCCTTCCTTTTTAATCCCTGGACGCTCAGTGACTTCAGAAAGCACCTTGGTTTTAGGAGGCCCCCTTCGGAGAGAAACCTGTTCTTTAAGTATCTCTGATGTCCTTAAGGAAGCACCCAAACCAAAATCAAAACATGAAATCCAGCTGCATGATAATCATATTTAACCTCGTTTTATACATCTGGAGGAATGTAGAAAGAGGTGTTGTTTTTTGTTTTTTTGAGAGGGGCACAGTCATTATAAAGCTAGCCTTCCTAATTTTTGAGATTTTCCATGTAGAGATGACCACGGGTTAGGACAATTTCCCTGATATCATTGGGGATTTAAAAAAAAACAAACACCGACTGCCCCAGCATTCAAGGTGCTTTGCTGTATGAATCTTTTCACAGCAGCAAGTTACTGGGTAACTTGAGCTGTGTTCGTTCCTGAAATTCTTTCACATAATTGAAGATTAATTTGATTCCCTAGATTGTGGAGGGTTGTTGACAGTGGGGGGCTGGGGTGGGTGGAAATAGATTATTCAAATCACAAAGAAGTGGGTGTGTCCTAAGTGACTGTTCCATTACCGCTCAGAAATTGTTTGCCTTCCTGCGTGTTCATCCGCCGGATCGGGCCAGGAGGGAGGTGAGGGCCCTGCCAGCGTTCAGAAAGCAGGTGAACCTCAGAGGAACCGAAATATTTTGTCAAGAGAGTTCTATGTATTGGTGGCGACTCCAGGATCCATTAACACCGAAACCAGCCAGCTCCCCTGCTCCGGCTTTCTCAAGTGTCTAATGTAAACAATATGAAAGTCAATAGTGAGGGACATTCCAAGATAGTAGGAGCACGATTGATTTATTGATGGCTGCACAATGGGAGGTTATCTTTCGTTAATTGACTCAGTAAATAAGCCTCTAGGCTGCAGGGGCTGGGTGGGGAGAAGTACCTGGTGGGGGAAAAGGTGAGGCACCTGGATTATAATTTTTTCAGCTCCCAGCCTGTCACAGTCAGTTCGAATACCATACTGGCTGTGAAGCTCAAGCATATGCAGCCATGTTAATTCTGCCTAGAAGTCAGCATTGGTCCCCCTCCGTGGGGGGAGACTCAAAGGTTGTGCGTTCTTACCAAGCACTATACATGTTATTCAAGTTTGGCTTCAGGAGGGTTTGGGGGGTGTGGATAGAGACATAGAGAGAGAGAGAGAAAGGGGGGGACACAAGCAACAGCTACCCACAGGCTTGCCTAGAAATCTAGAAGCAGTGGGCAAGATCTTGCACTGTGCGTGATACCTGTCACCTCTAAGCACTGAATGATTGAACGTTGGGGACAACACCCCGCTCCCCATTGACAGTGGGCTATGGACACTTCTCCAAAAAAGCTACTCTGATCTGGTAGCTCCTCCAGGGAGGAAAGAGGGAGAGAAAAGCAACCACCACAAGCCCTTTGTAAGTTCAGGCCATTTCCCAGCATTCTCTCCACCGAGGCGGGATCTCCTGGATGCAGAGGTCACACGTTGAACTTGTCTGCATGCGGTCATTTCCGCACTTTTAAATTTTCACCAGAGATGGTTTACAAATGAGAATTCTCATCGTTTCTTCTTTCCATTTCCAAGAGCACTTAAGAGACATTTCCTTTCTAGCTGGCTTTCTTGTTTTCTCCTTAAGGCCATTATTATGGTTATTTAAAAAAGCTTTTATTTATTTTTAGAGAGAGGAGGAGGGAAAGAGAAAGAGGGGGAAAGAAACATCAATGTGTGGTTGCCTCATGTGCCCCCTACTGGGGGCCTGGCCTGAAACACAGGCATGTGCCCCAACTGGGAATCGAACTGACAACCCCCGGTTCTCAGACTTGCACTCTATTCACTGAGCCATGCCAGCCAGGGCCATCATCATCATTATTATTATTATTTGGAAACTCTCTAACCCCCGACTTCCTTCTCTCTCTCCCCTCTGCCAGCTCACTCCCAATCTTTTTGGCTACCCCCTCTGCTCTCTGAAGGAGAGTCCTGTACCTAAATCAAATAGGAACCCACACCTGCAGCAACTGGGGTTCCCTCTCCCCCTAGGAACCCACCCTTGCTGCCCCTGCCACCGTCCCCCAGACCTCTCCACTGCTGAGCATCACCCCATCTCATCCCCCATTATCTTTGGCCCCAACACATGGAGTCCACTTTACATCTCAGCTTTCATTTGTCTTATCCACTTACATCCTCAAGTCTTACAGGTGCTGCTCCTTTTATTTATAGTTCATGTGCTATAAGCTTAGCCTCGCAAGAAGAAAGGAAAAAAAAAAAACCTGGCCCAGGGTAACTGCCCCATTCATGTCTGTATACTGATGGAGCGAGTGTCTACTACTGTGCTTTTCTTCATGCTAATCACCTCCATCATGTTATTGCAGAGCCCAGAACGCCAATTATATGATTGCAGTTACTATCACTAACTGTCTCCCGAATCACGTTATCAGCTCGTCTTTCCCAGACACCCACCGTTCATTCATTTCTGTGTTTCCACCAAACTCTGAAACATCTCATGCTCCATCCAAACTGTTGCTCAGTTTTCCTAAACTCTTGGTATACCTCTTCCTCTGTACCTCACTCATCCTCCTTCCCTCAACTGTCTTTCCAAGTTCAAGATTTGCCTGGTTCTTCAGGTCCCACTGGAATGCCACCTGCTTCTCTGTGGAGCTATGTTGGGGTCTGTCTGCCTGGGCTGGATGTGCATTCAGCGTGTTTCATAGATATTTCTATTCTTGATTTATTTTCTCCTGGGAGAAGGTAAACACTTGCGAGGAATCAGCTAAATCTTACATTTCCCCCCCTGTGGCTGACTCTCAGTGCCTTATAAATGGTAAGTACGTAGAACACCAGCATTGAGTGACGCTGATTTTTATTGCTTTCTTATCATGGCAATATTTTTTTCTTTTTTCTTTTGATTATGTGTTGTTGTTCAGCATGGTGCACGTGTCTCTGTACATGTGTGTGGTGTGTGCTTTCACCATTGGCTAGCCCTCAATATTGAAATATACATTGGTTGACCATTATTTTACCTTTTTAAATTTTAAAATACGTTTGTTGATTTGAGAGAGAGGAGATGAGAGAGAGAGATATCAGTTAGTGCTTGTACGTACCCCGCAACCAGGGATTGAACCCTCAACCTAGGTATGTGCTGTGAAGGGGACTTGAACACCTAACTTTTTGGTATATGGGACGATGCTCCAACCAACTGAGCCATCTGGCCAGGGCTTGACCATTATTTTAAAGCCATCTTCTGAATGAACCAAAGTAAATCAAGAAAAGCTCACTTCGAGTTTACCCACTCATACTCCCTCCCTGCCTCGTCTGGGAATTAGTGGCGCTTAAGGTCCCCGGCACCCACAGCTGCCTGCAGTTTGAGATGCCAGCTTCAGCACCGGGTGGCCACTTTTCAGAAGCCTGTGGTCACTCGGGAAACAAAGGCACTCCTGTTTCTGCTGCTCGATCACAGTGAAGACATCAGATTAATAGAATCTTTACATTCTTGAATAATGTTGGCAGAAGAGTTTGTGTTCACGATAACACAGGGAAATGCTTCCTGAGCCATAAAGCTCACCCAAGAAATGAGAGAGAGAGAATATGAATTGTGTGTGCTGGTAGATTTTTGCAGAATGGTCTGTGTCCTTTGCGGTGTGTTCTGGCTTTGGGAGCCCTCAATGAGTCACTGCAGAGAGGAATTTCCTGGGCGAGGGATCCCCTTTGTCAAAGGGACCGGGCTTTGGGAGGAGGAGGGGCCATGGAGATGAGGGAGGGGCCCCTTTCAGTTCAAACTCTCGGGTTCACTCAATGTAATGTGGTTGCTAATGGGATTTAACCACAATACTTACTCTAACCTTGTCACCAAAAAGGTGCCCTGTGTGCCTCTTTTTTTCAGCACTGCCTGTCTGGTCACTGTGCAGAAGTCTGTTCTCCCAGTTTTCTAAGTGGTAATCCTAGAATTATCTTGGCTCAGAAATAAATGAAGAACATGTGTTCCGGACTCCAGTTTCCCCACAGGGGCTGTGGCAGAAACAAGGATGAAGTCCCAGGACCCAGAACCTCTCCAGCAGCGGACCACGCGTCAACCGCCGAACATTCTCTTGGAGAAGGCTCTCGGCCTTTCTCTTTCCCACAGTGTGAGATCAAGTATAGGGAGGGAGGCAAAAGCAAAGCAATGGAGCTTCTTCAAAGGTTTGCCAGTCGGGAAAGACGGGGCTATATTTAGTTCCCTGACGGTCTGTCCAGGAAGCTAAAGCCACCAGGCAATGAAGTGGTAAATGGTGAGTGTGGGTAGGGGTGTTTTCAGGAGGAGGGCAGATTGGGGGAAGTGACGGTGTAGGCCTTAGAAGAGAGTGTGATTGGGCAAAAATCTTTCATAACAGTTGTATAGTAGCGTGTGGCTCAAGCGGCCTACCTGCTGCACGTTGCAAAGGTGTATTCTGAGCGCTGTAGAGAGGACTCGAAAGACTCTCAGCTAATCGCTTATATCCTGCTCCCCACGTCCCCTGAATATACTAACAATATCAGTAAACCATCTGCTATTTACTGAGTGACTACTACAGACCGACACAATGGCACACGTTAACGCCAGGTCACACAGCTGCTAAGTGGTGGAGATCGATGGGAATCTAGTTTTCCTTCCGACTCCGCCTTCAAGGGATTCTCTGTCCTGCCTCCTATACTATTCCCTGCAGCACTGGCATTTCATGGTTTTACATTCATGTAGGAGAGCACTGCAGTCTTCCTGGAGACAGGCACGAAACACACACACACACACACACACACACACACACACTATAAGTATAATCTATGTTGAAATCTACATTTTAAGTGGAGTTGGTATCCTTAAAAAAAAGGAATAATGAGAGACTCTCATTTGCATTTTAATTTACATTTAGATGTCCTGGAATTGTAACTAGTACTCTTGTTTAAAAAAAAAATCCCTTTTCATTCTTTTATTGATGGTGATTCCTGGAGATTTTGCATGGCTTTTGCTGCTAGATTTAGGATCCCAGGGGCGGGACAGAGAACAGAGGGGTAGACACAGGCCAGGAAAGGAAGCTGCAGGGCAGACCTGAGCTGTACCTGGTTGGCTTAGCAGTGGCTTCTTCCCTTCGGTATGGCAAACCCAAGGCCTGCTCAGCTCGGCAGCTTCGAATTCAAACCTTGGGCAAAGTAGGTAGGATATATAGTCAATAATTCCAAATGGAAATTGTGCATTTACAGGGTCACACAAGGAATAACTCGACTCATTCTTAGACTTGAGTTTCCAAATCGCAGGGCATGTTCATCCTAGGTGATTTTCCTTTTTCACATTTATCTTCTTGCTGAGGGGGGGGGGTGAGAAGCGAGGGCTACATTCGGGAAGGCAACCCGCAAATTTGGAAGAGTCGTTCACGTTCTTTCATAAACAAACGGCCTGTGAATCAGACGTCTATTTCCTTGAATGACACGGTTGTTAGCGTGATGCCTTGTGGGAAGGGTTATTTGGAAAACCGAATTTAGAAATAAACATTTCGGTGTGGAGGTTCTTCTCAAAGCAGACACGGGAAGCCTTTCCATCTTTTGAAACCTCTTTGGGCCTAGGAGGGCAAAATTACCCATCAGGCCCCGGGGAGCTCTGAAATCCCCTGGGTCTCTACTGGCCACACTTCCTTCCCTTGCTGGGCTCCCTCCTTGAGGGATGGGAGTGAAATGGTCAAGAAGCCAGCTGTTGAACCCAGATGTGCTTGTAGATATAATAAGGAATCATTCTTCCTCCAAGATCAAAGAGAAGGAGTTGTTCAGTCTGTTCCAGTTTGAAGCAGATGAAGACAAAAAAAAAAAAAATAGGAAGCATCAAAAATGGTGGTAGACGTACAAGTCCAGGCTCCTAATAGAGACCTGGAAGCTACTCTCAGGGGGTTGGGCCCGGTGCCACTCACCTGGGATGACTTAATTACAGGGAGTTCGTGACAATCTGTGAAGGGGAGAGACAAGCTCCAAGCTCCAAGAGGCGGCAATCGCAAATCGACTGGCTTCAGAATAGTCCACAAGATCCTCCCCCTAGAAATTTGCCTTCCTAATTATGTTTTGATTAGCTCAATATTAAAAATTAGTTGGCTTCCCCAGGGCATCTCTGCAGTTAAACTGCAGAGGGAGTTGGATGAGGAGTGAGGCCCATTGGAATACGTAGGATGAAACATTTTCTGTGCTAATGTAGCACCAAAAATCCGCAGTTAGTTTCATTTTAAAGGAAAGCCCGATTCAGGGCACTTTGCCCGAAATGCTATAAACGTGTATAATTACATACATGCGATTATTTGTACTTAAGTGTGTGTGTTTTTACCTTAAGAATGTTATGTCCTCAAGGTAAAAAGCAAGTTACGTTGCATAAACAGATGCTCCTGCTTAGGAAGGGCCTCACTCTGTAGCAATAGGTTAGATTTGAAATGCTAGAGTGAAGGGTGGCTTGGGAATCTTGGATGCTTCAACTTACAGTTGTTTTCATGGGGCTCTTGGCCAAGCTTCCTCCTTTCTTTCTCTAGGTTTAAATTATTTCACATTCTAATATTCCTTAGGTATATACACACTGAAGAGTAGACACACTCCTGAAGTTCATGGCTCTGAAACAACTTCAAGTCCAAAAGGAGCCTGCAGATCGAATTCAAACAAAATGACAGACAGAACGTCGACATGAACAATGGTGGTGTAACATGATGGATGATGGACGGCTAACTTTCGGTCGCAACTGGTGGCCTTAATGTTTCACCAACTGGAATGAGGAAGATTGATTTGAGCATGCGTATCTTGCCGTGGGATGTATACAGTGATTCTTCTAGCATTTTCCCCTAGTTAAGCTGCTGCCAAGCTTTGGTCCACACAGCATACTAGAGGTTCAGTTGACTGTCTCTTGGCATAAATGTATGATTTACCTGTTGGGGGGATCCAGGTGTTGTGGGGCCTGGGTAGTGTTCGATTTGGGCGGCTTTCTTTCGTGAAAGTACAATACAAACAGATGCCTCCCGCAGTCCCCCTTGAAAGGGACCTATGCACATGAGAACTCTTGAAGCTCAAGTTTAATTACCTTCATGCTAAATCCACCTGTTTTCATGTATCAAGTCCTTCTCGATTGTTTTTCCCTTGTGGTTGATCAAGCAGTATGATCGGGCAGCATTCACGAGTGGCTTTTTCATTTTATTTTAAGAAGATCAGCTTTAAATGGCATATTTGTGCCTTTAAGATCCTTCTCAAAAACGAAATTAAACATTACTATTGACAACACAGGGACTGTTGGGAAAGATATTCCTATTAAATCCTTTTCCCCTTACAAATTCCTCAGAGGAGAGATGATGCCGAGGCGAAGTTTTAGGGTCCTGCTGTACTTGGCTGTGATTGGCTTATAGCGGTCAATATTTGGGAGGGAAATACAGAGGGGAGCAGTTCGCTGGAATAACTTTTCCCAGCCTGTCTGAATTGTTGGAGCTTTGCGCACAGCCCCTGTGAGTTTCCAACCCCTGGGCCCCATATCTTGTCCTGTCCCTGGCCTCATGTCAAGGTGGACAGAACCTGTAGGGCTAAAGTGAATCTCAGGCTAGATCATCTGGGAGGGCCAGAGGGATAAACGGAATCCAGACACCACCATTCATTTCAGGGACAAAGGTGGTGATCAGATAGGTCATGAGTCAGAGCCTAGGAGTCATCAAACAGAAGTCACGGGGGTACAGAAGGGTCAGGCTAGCAACAGAAATCAGGGTCAGGAAGAACTCACAGCCAAGACCTCGCTGGCACGGTGGGGTGGATATTAACATCATGGTCAAGCAAGTCTCAGGCTTTGGCAGGGCGGTCTCCCTGCCGTCCTTGCCTGGTAGGACTCGTGTCTACAGACTGTTTTGGGGCCCATCAGTGCTGGGTCTGCAAGCCTTGTAGAGGACAGGGAGTAGGTGTGGCTCTTTTAGTCGAGGGAAATTCTGGAATCGCTTTGACTAGAGTCGGAGAACAAGATGAGGCCTCCCCCAGCCCCGAGGGCTCTTCCTTCTAAGACAGGAGGGTTTTCTGAGAAGCCTTCAGGTGAGAGCCTGCAGGGCCCTGTACTGAGCACACGCATTCTGATGAGCTTGGTTCCCAGAAAATGCGCATGTGGGAAAGCTTTGGGGCTTGCCATTTAAAAAAAAATCCTAACTTTCTATTTCTCTACCTTATGGGGTTACTATCAAGTTCAAGTGAGATTACACATGTACATAAAAGAGCTTTGTACTTGGTGAGGAGCCACCTGTAGCAGGTGTTGTAACCCTATTTCTTTCCCGGGAAGGTGCTGATTTGTGTCACCCTTGATAATTACACTATTTTTAAGTGTGACCATTTTGCCTGATAAACACTTTTTTTTTTCCTGTTTCCTTTCTGCTTCGTTTTCTTTCTGGTTGTTTTTTTTTGTCTCTTTTCTAGCTGGTGAAAAATGATTTCATTGGAAATTGGATATCAGAACAATATTTTTAGAGATGGAAGGGTTTCTCTGGTTTCAAAGAGAACTTTTTTCTTTTGGTTTTAATTTCAGAGACGTTGGAGTTACTAAATAAACCTCTTTATCTAATCCACTAGGCCTTTCGTTCAATGCACCCAACTCATGCCTAGGTAGAATATGCATGCCTAGTCACCTGAGGTCTTATCAGTGATAATAAAGAGAAAGAATTAGTCACTCTTTCATGGTAAAGGACCAGCAGTAGGCCCATTCCTTTTGCTTCTCCCGAAATACTTGGGGCATCTGGAAGTGTGTGAAGTGAACAGGTCGTTCTGTTCAACAGGAGCAGGGTTCCTCCCATGATCCCCACTTTGCCAGAATCTGAGTGTCATAAACATGCTTGCCGGCGGGATTAAATTAGCCTACGGGCATCGTCCAAGCATGACAGCAAAGGGACCTGATGCGGCAGGCCACCTCAGGTTGGCGTCTTTTCTCCACCCGATCCTCTACCATCCAGGTCTGGGGGGCCAGTCTGGCTGCTTTTGAGGAGGCAGGAGGTGTAAGACCTCGCTGAGGGCGTGGGGAGGCCTCCAAGAGAATGTGCTCATTCCCGCTTGCCATGAAGAGCCAGCAAAGGATGAGAACATCCAGGAAAAAGCTTTCTGTTCTGTTTTTTTCTTCTCCTCCAAGATGTTTCAAACACTAACTTAGTTTCTGTTTACCTTCCCTGCCCACCCCTCCCAAGCTCTCCAGCTACGCCTTTCTTTGAAAACCTTTGGAATCCCTCCTGTGATGATCAGCTCCTCTGGAGAGGAGTCGGGTTTGCTCAGGGACATCACTGAATAAAGATGAGTTTGTATTTTAAGAAGGAAACAGCTGGATGGCCAAAGCCAAGGAGGGAGGCGGCTCTTGTTTCATGAGCGGAGGGAAGTTCGAGGGCCCAGAGAGAGCTACTGGGCCTGCAGCCACGGCGGGGAGAAGAGAAGGAAACACGCCATCATAAAGCACTAATCATGAAAAATGGAGAGGCAGCGCGGGCCAAGAACAACAAGCAATAAATAGATTTTTGGAAGGGGGAGAAAAGATGGAGAGGAATGCAGAACTGCACTGGGGGCAGGGGCAGCGAGGGCATGTGCCTTTCATTTGAAAGACAGAAAGTTAATAATTCTGAAAATCATTACGCGGTCCTGTGGCAAATCTGTAAAGATCACTTTTTAGACACAGGTTGTATCGTTTCAGAGTCGATTTTCGTGCATGGGGCAAAAAAAAAAAAAAAGTACAGGGAGAGAGAAAGTGTACTGTATCAGAGTGGCTGTGTTCTTCCTGTGTTGTTTTGTTTTGTTAAATTTTTAAATTTCTGCCTGATGGTAGGAAAGGAAGCAATTAGTTTGGCAAAGACTACATCCAAACTGATAAATTAGGGGTTTCTAAGCATGACTCATCCAAGTTTCAGCCTTAATCAGAAATACCATGTACCAGTACATGGTTACTTGTGGGGTAAGCACTTACTGCCTCTCTGTGTGGTTTAAGACCCACAGGTATCTCTTTAAATATTTTGGATGAAATGAGCCTGGGTTGAAGGAAGGACCTAAGGGGAGAACCAGACAGCAGCCCGTCCTTCACCTTGAAATCTGTTCAACACGCCTAAATATACACACACGGCCAAGAGTCCAGGCAATTCCAGAGAGAAAGCATCTCAAAAACAAAACAAAACAACCCTGCTATTTGCAGTTTCACATTATTACGGATAACACCTTATCAATGAAATGTTGGTCTTTCATTTGGGGGGTGCTTGTTAGCTTTTTTAACATTTTAAATTTGATTTTGATAGCAGCGTTTGTGTAAGAAGGGAAAATGCTTGCTGGTGAGTTCTGTAATGAACATTAATCTTCTTAATGGCGTGGCTGTCCATGGTTGGCAGATTAGGACTTCTGAGTGAACCTGGGTTTTTTTTTTGTTTTTTTTTTTTTAGTGGTAGCTCTGCCTGAGAATGAAGGCCAGGGAACTGGAACTACATGGGAAATGCATGAAGACAGGATACAGGATTTCCTATGATTTTATGTTGTTCTTAATTAGGAAGCCTATTGGCAACAGACGCTAACATGTGTCAGGATGTTTTGCTGTAGCCAATGAATGCTTTCAATTACAACTCGGAATTCCATGCCTGGTCAGAACCCACGCTGGTCCACTTGCGGTGTTCAAAATCTCTTAACATGGTAACTCAACGGCCCGCTTTCTGTTGGCTTTCAGGGTACAATTACTCTCTGCCACACATTGTCTAGGGTCATCTTTCACTCAGGGTGGAAGTCAAAGACCCCAGCACGGTGACCTGCGTTCTTGGAAGTGCTTTTTGTGGGAGCTGATAGTCTCCTTAGTAAGAACGCTCGGTTCGACCCCAGAGTTGGAACAGGGTGTCAGGAGCCAAGTGGCACCCTTTCTGTCCCCAGGGGAGGAGGAGAGGAGGCGAGAAGAAGGAAAAGGTGACCAGTTCAGGTAGCTCCATTAGAGAAGCATTGGCTGGCACACGCAAGGAACTGTGTTCATTCAAAACATTGTTTGCAGCATAAGAACTTGAAAACAATGTCGGCGTCCATCAGACGGGATGGAAATACACTGTGGTATGGAGTCCCCTAGAGCAGCGAAAAGAATGAATCCCAATATTCGTAACAAGCCTCACACTCCACAAAGGCTGAAGGAAAATAATCACCGTGCAGAATATTTAGTTTATGAGGAAAAGAAAAAGGCAGTTTAAATGAATGGCTGACTCTTTTTAAGAAGAACGGGAGTTTTAAATATAAAATGCAGAATGATAATTTAATAATTAAAATATATTTTGAAAAATAATTATAAAATTATTCGTGAAACGATGGTACATGTTTCCCATGGGTTCAGGCAAATGTATGTCAGAATATCCCATAAGTTCTGGAAGGATATGTATCAAGAGTAGTTCTAGCTCAGATGAGCTAGGGAAGGACCCAAGATTGTTAAAAGCATCAGTGAGAAATTTCTCCCTCGAATAGTATATGTTTTTTAAAAGAAAATATTCCTTTCCTACTCCTAATGTTAAGCGTTCATTTAAAAGGTACAAAAGCGAATGGTTATGAAGCTGTTTCCTAAAATTCGATATCTAGGCATTTTCTCTGCAGTTGGATCTTAGATTACAAGCTGCCTATACAACCTCTGCTGTGCCTTTGGAGGTCTTAGAAATCTTCCGAAACATGAAAAAAAGGTTTCATACGCGTGGATTTTTCACTCCTGGACCTGAGAAGTTTCCCACACACTCCTCCGCTAAAATGACACAGGAGCCCATAGTACCTGCCCCCGGATGGACGCTTCCTCGTTTTCTCACATCAGCGCATCAGCGAGAGGTCCAGGGGTAAGGCAGCCCTCCACTCACACCGTCCGGGATGCCTCCGCTCTCTTCCTGGCCTGTGCCTTGACACTTGTTCGTCCCTGTTGCTGGAACGTTCTTTCCCAATTTTTGCATGGCCCATTCCTCACCTCATTTGGGTCTCATTTTCCATGTCCCCTCTCCAGAAGCCGCCTCTGATTTTTCTGTCATTCTTCCTCCATTTGTAATTGTTTACTCATCTTTGTTTAGTCGTCTACTCTCCCTCTCCTCCTCTTGAATGTACAGTTCAAGAGAGACGGGAGCCCTGGCCTGGTAGCTCAGTTGGTCAGAGTGTCGTCCCAATAAGCCAAGGTTGTGGGTTTGATCCCCAGTCAGGGCACATGCAAGAATTGACCAGTGAATGCATGAGTGGAACGATAAGGGGAATGACAAATTCATGTTTCTCTCTCCTCTTTCCTGTTGAAAGCAGTTTTAAAAATTAAAAAAAGAGAGAGAAGGGAATTTATTTCATTTTCAAAGCTATGCCCCAGTGCCTAAGACAGTGCCAGGAACATAAAAATTGCTCAATAAATATTTGTCCCCTGAATTAATGGCCCATGTGGGTTTTTTGTTGCTTCTTATACACCCGCCTGTGACACTTGCAAAGCCTTGGAAATTATGAAATCATTTTTCTGCATTTTATACTTACGAGTTGTCATTCTTAATAAAAGCCAGCCACACATTTAAAATGCCATTTTGTCTTGCTAATAAAGAACCCCATAGAGGATATGGGTAAACAAATTAGCCCAAAAAAAAGTGAAAATGTACAAAACTGCATTCATTTAATAAAAGAGGATTTTTTTCTATACCCTTACATGAAGATCTTTTAACCTACACATCAGATTCTTTCAGAAACTGTGAAATGAAATGACTGACCATCAGAACTAATTTCGAGAAGAAACCTGGGCATCTCCAAAGTAGTACCAATCTCCTTAAAACTGTGTCAGCTAGTTACTGGACTAAGTAAAATCACTGGGATGCATCAGGACTTCCGAATGGCACACACAGCACCGTAATTCTCCAGTAGAAGGGGCTGTCGTGGGCACAACGAAAGCAGTGGCATAGCATCGCTTGGCTTTGGTCCCGAGACTTATAAAGAGGCCACACGTGGCAGATCACAGGTACAGAAGAGACGCCTGTGAATGTAGCCTGGTGTGAGCTGGGCCCCTGAGGCCCGCCGGACAGGAGCTTGGTGGGACTGATGGGGATGAAATGCCTCCTCATTCTGCCCGGGCTTCACCTCCATCCCAGTGTTTCCTGTCATCTGTCCCCATCAAAGGAAGCAGAGGGCACTTTGTATGCAGGCCTTTTAGTTTTAGGTCATTAGGTTGTTTTTTTTGCATGGGGGGAACAATTAATGTAAGAGCAGAACCCACCGGATGCCTCAAAAGAACCAGACGTACAGTGAAAGGCCTCATAGTTCCTTTGAATAGTAAAAAGATCTCTATTTTTGAGAGATCATCTTGATAATCTAGGGTAAATCATTAGGACCGGGTAAACTCACTGGAATGCGGAATGCTTGTCTTATTAGGTGATTTTATATAATTTGTATTTATATAT